TGTCCTTTTGATGATCACAGTGTTGGTACCTGGGCTCTCGTTTGCTGTCCTCTTATCATACGTGCTAGCAGTCTGCCGCTTTTATTGGCATGTATGTAATAGAAGGCCTTCGAGCGCTGTAGTGCTCTGTGGTATTTGTGGTCTATGAGTTCCGTAAGTTGTCTGCATGCTGTCAGGAGTTCTCGGTAGTGGGCAGCTAGTTGACTTTGTTTATGAAGGGCCTCGAGTTTCGATATTTGGGTCGTTAGGTCTGCGATTGCTTGGAGGTTGTCCTTTTTTTTTACGCGATGCAAGTCTTATAAAGTGTCCCCTGAGTACACTCTTATGTGCTTCCCAGAGTGTTATATGTGACATGTCGGCCATTGCATTCTCTTTAAGTATTGGTTCAGATGTTCGGTCAGTTGTGATTGGATTACCATGTCTAGAAGGAGTGATTCGTTCATCCTCCATGACATTCTAGTGGACTTGAAGCAGGGGGAGTCGAGGAGTATGGAGGTTTTGCTGTGGTCCGCCCATGGGATCGGTCTGATGTCAGCGTTTTGTAGGTCCCTCTTGTTGGATGAAAATGTAGTCTATACGTGAGTATCTCGTGTGGAGGGTTGAGTAATGCGTGTAGTCTCGGTCCTCTGGGTGGATCACTTGCCACGAGATTGTTTTTTGGGCGCGTTCAAGCCTCCACAGTTTTGTGTGATTATATGAAATGGTGTGGGTGTATATGCCATTTTGTTTTAGTAGGTTGTGATGTTCTGTCGGGATGAGGATGGGCAGCAGGAGAGTGATTAAGAGTGGGGGGGGTAGTAGAAGGTGATATAGGGTTTAGTTATTATTATGTTATTATTCTTTGCTGCTCGTGTAGCAGGTTTTAGTCATTATACCATGCAGTATATGTTATTATGAAACAATGTGCTAGCATAATGACTAACATATAAATTTGTAGAACATATTTCAGATATATGTTTAGCCGTCAGCACACATACTGCCATCCTGGTGTCCTGGGGTTCAGCAGTGGACCTACTTGGGCCCTTGTGAGTTCCTCTAGAGTGTGCCATGGCAAACCATGTAAACTTTAAACCTTATAACTTTAAATCAGTAAAACATTAAAGCATTAGCAACTTTTGTCCTTGACCCTGTTTTGCCGTGTGAGCAGTGTCCATGTCTCATGTCTCCCTCTCTTCCCAACAGTCCCCCCACCCCAAATGCAGCGTGGGTCCATTAGTTTCATGAGACTCATGTTATTATCTTTACCCTTACCCTTTAGCCCCTAGTTCAGTGCTTGCAGTGTGATTAGTGTGTCACTTATCTGGGTTCCCGGTGATAGTTGCAATCGTCCGGCATCTGCCTGTTTCTCGGGCATATAGGGTTGATCACAGTCTCTCGGGGGGGTGGGGGGAGGGATGTTCACATCGGGGGGCGTTATTCTCTGTCTTTACTCCTCGGTTTCTGCTAGGTCAAGGTGCCTGCGGGCGTTGGGGTGCCTTGGCGCTTCTCCCCTGCGGCGTCGCTGTTGTCGTGGTGTTTGGTGTCTTGGTCTCTGTTCCAGTGGTCCGAGGACCCAGTCTGTTATTTCAGTGGGTGGTAGGCCCATGCAGTGCAAAAATCCCAGGCACTCCTCCGGCCAGCGCAGGGGCACTCAGTCATTCTGGTGTCTTGCAAGTAGAGCAAAAGGGAACCCCCATTTATAGGGGATGTTATAGGGGCCCTTCGGGCGTTGAGTGTGAGCGGTGAAAGATCTTGAAATAAGGCCACGTCCGCTCCACGGAATCTCCATAATGGCCTAGAGCGTGCCTTTAGCATTATGCTTTCTTTGTGCTTATAGTGATGCAGGCAGCAGATGATGTCTCGTGGAATGTTGTCTGCTAGCCTGGGTCTGTTTGCTCTGTGTGCTCGGTCAAATGCTAGGTTATCTGGCATGTCAGCTCCTAGTATTTCTCGGAATAGGGCCTTCAGCGTGGCCTCCATGTCTTCCTCGGTGGATGGTTCAGGCAGTCCGCGAACGCGGATGTTGGAGCGGCGGCCCCTATTGTCCAGGTCCTCTGTCTGTCTTCGCAGGGCCAGTAGCATGTTCCCTTGTCTGGTGGTCACAGTAGTGTTGGTTCCTGCCTTCTCCACCGTGTCTCGTACAGTCTCCTCCAGTTTTTGGAGCCTGCCACCATGCACCGTGATCTCAGACTTTAGGGCAGCCACCTCAAAGTGGATTGCGGTGTGTAGATCGCCCGATAGGGTCCGGAGGTCAGTTTTTGTGACCATCTGGCATGCCACTGCCCTGATGTCCGCGCTGACGTTGGCGAGTGTGGAGCTTTCGGCCTCCAGGGGCTGTGAACAGGTCGGGCATCGGCTATTTCTGGGCCCACCTGCTCGCGTGTCAAGGCTGCGGGGGTTTGCAGGTAGTCGTCCATGGGACCTGCTTGAGAGTTGGTGGGGTTGCTGCGGGGTGTCTGTGAGCCCTCCGGGCATTACGTGTGGCCCATATTTCGCCCTCGCTAGTCTCTTAGTGTGCTAAATGTGGCTGTTTGAGACGGAGCACTCAGATTAGGCTGCCATGTTTCTCGGCAGCCAGGCCACGCCCCTTCAATTTGGATGTGAATACTCTCAAATTAAAGCTGAGAGACTGTAATTTACAGTCAGGTCCATAGATATTGGGACATCAACACAATTCTAATCTTTTTGGCTCTATACACCACCACACTGCAGACTTTCAGCTTTAATTTGAGGGTACATCCAAATTAGGTGAACGGTGTAGGAATTACAACAATTTGTATATGTGCCTCCCATTTTTCAAGGGACCAAAAGTAATACGACAATTGGCTGCTCAGCTGTTCCATGGCCAGGTGTGTGTTATTCCCTCATTATCCCATTTACAAGGAGCAGATAAAAGGTCCAGAGTTCATTTCAAGTGTGCTATTTGCATTTGAAATCTATTGCGGTTAACTCTCAATATGAGATCCAAAGAGCTGTCATCCACCACAGTTGTTTTCCGTGGCAACACCAAAAGACCCAGAAGACCACGGAAAACAACTGTGGTGGATGACCGAAGAATTCCTTCCCTGGTGAAGAAAACACCCTTCACAACAGTTGGCCAGATCAAGAACACTCTCCAGGAGGTAGGTGTATGTGTATCAAAGTCAACAATCAAGAGAAGACTTCACCAGAGGGTTCACCACAAGATGTAAACCATTGGTGAGCCTCAAAAACAGGAAGGCCAGATTAGAGTTTGCCAAAGAACATCTAAAAAAGCCTTCACAGTTCTGGAACAACATCCTATGGACAGATGAGACCAAGATCAACTTGTACCAGAGTGATGGGAAGAGAAGAGTATGGAGAAGGAAAGGAACTGCTCATGATTCAAAGCATACCACCTCATCAGTGAAGCATGGTGGTGGTAGTGTCATGGCGTGGGCATGTATGGCTGCCGGTGCAACTGGTTCTCTTGTATTTATTGTTGATGTGACTGCTGACAAAAGCAGCAGGATGAATTCTGAAGTATCAATGACCCGAAGCATACTGCAAAAGCAACCAAAGAGTTTAAGGGAAAGAAGTGGAATGTTATGCAATGGCCAACTCAATCACCTGACCTGAATCCGATTGAGCATGCATTTCACTTGATGAAGACAAAACTGAAGGGAAAATGCCCCAAGAAAGGCACACTTGCAATTGTTATACTAGGAGGTGCTGGTGTATGGCTTCACCGTTGGCTTGTCTAATGACACCGCAGAAAATTTGAGTTACTGAAGTGTATTGGTGACACAAATTTAAGTCCCCATTGGGTTGTTTCGTGAGCCTTAGGGGCATGTAGTGCTGCCGGCCACCATGCAGTGAATTGCGCCAGGTATTTTGTGGCAATTGTAATTGAAGTGTACCTGTTCCCCACGAGAGCTCTCAAAGCGCCAAGTGCGACTCATCTACCCACAGCACTGAGGGCCCAACACCCCACCCCTCTGTGTTTCTCCCATGGTTCATGTGTCGCCTCTGCTCCCCGTTCTATACAATATACTGCTCCCACTGGTCCCACACTTTCTGAAAGGTCCTGAAAGAGTTTCACACCTGTGCTATCAGCTTGTGTTTTATCTTGGCTATGACTAGGGGCAGTGGTGGCAGCTCCGGGCTTACCCATTTCTGGGCCAAGACTCGTCTGACAGCTAAATAAACCATGTTAATTAATTTCTGTTTGTGTCTGGTTAAGCCTTCAGTCGGTCTGGAAAGGAGGCATGCCCAGGAGTCCATTGTTAGCGGCCTCTGCAAGATCCGGGCGCTTAGTCCCACCACCTTTTTCCCGAAGTCTCAGATTTTGGGGCATTGCCACCACATATGTGCGTAGCTCCCCTATCACCACATAGCCTCCAACGTGTATCTGTGGAACTGATCTTTATATGATATTGTTTAACCAGGTTGGTGTACCATCGGAAGAGAGTCTTATATGTCCTTGAAGGGTTACACAGATAGATGATCATGTGCATGCCTCCCAGATATTTTCCCATTCCACCCCCTCTAATTTTTCCCCCTTGTTCACCTCCCATTGGTCCGTGTAGCGCAGTCCCCCCATTCATTGTATTCCTGGCTAATGGAACAGATGAGGAGCAAACTAGAGGAACAGTAGAGGAGCAAAAGCACATTTTCTTGAAAAATGTCATAGGGGTCGTGGCCACTGTGTGCACCTCTTTAAGGACAGAAAGGTTACGCAACTGTAGCTATCAGAAAAAATCCCTAGTCTGAAGTCGGGGCTTATTTCTTTAATCTATCATAAGTGACTATCGCCTTGTCCATCTAAAGGTGTGTGTATCGTTGGAGGCTTGTGTATTTAATCCCCCTAAAGGCCCTTGCATTTAGACCCGGAGGGAATGCCCTATTGCTAAGGAGATATTTGGATGCAGTCAAGTCCCATATCCTGATGGAGTTAAGTATTGCCAGACACGTTGTCCTAAGTATAGCAGGGTGCATGGTATTCCAGGCCGTTTTCTTTGCCAGATGAAAGTGTCTATAGTGTGTGGTAAGTGTACTAGATCCCCTTGTGTGACCTTTACCGGTAGTGACTGGAAAAGGAATAAAAGTCGAGACATTATGTTAATTTTTACTGTGTTTAGTCTTCTGATCCAAGAGATCGGTTTATCTGTCCACTGCTCCAAGTCCCGGATCAGAGTATTGAGCAGTGGTGGATAGTTGTGTCAGTATAATTTAATGTGGTCTGATGTGAGTTTTATCCCTAAGTATTAGAGTGTATCTTGGACTATGTGCAGGTTAAATTTGGTGTGTATTAATGCCATGTCCAGAGCCATAGAAAGTCATAGATTTTGTCAGGGTTGCAGAGATAATTTTATCAGTGCCTTTTGGTACATACGATGCAACAACAGACTGAAATATGTGGACGTAAGTACGCACCAAGGACATTTACATAAACACAATAATAAAGAAACCCAATGAAACACAAATGCAATCCTATAGCTTCCTTTTACATAGACCGCCAAGTCACAGACGCTTGAGCCTTCAATACCTACTGTATCTCCAAATGGATAAATGCTGATCTTTATTTTATATATTTATACCATAAGTAGTGACTGGAAAAGGAATAAAAGTCAAGGCATTATGTTAATTTTTACTGTGTTTAGTCTTCCGATCCAAGAGATCAGTTTATCCGTCCACTGCTCCAAGTTCCGGATCAGAGTATTGAGCAGTGGTGGATAGTTGTCTCAGTATAATTGAATGTGGTCTGATGTGAGCTTTACCCCTAAGTATTGGAGTGTATCTCGGGCTATGTGCAGGTTAAATTTGGTGTGTATTAATGCCATGTCCAGAGCCATAGAAAGTCATAGATTTTGTCAGGTTTGTAGAGATAATTTTATCAGTGCCTTTTGGTACGTACGGTGCAACAACAGACTGAAACATTTGGACGTAAGTCAGCACCAATGACATTTGCATAAACACAACAATAAAAAAACACAACGAAAAAAAATGCAATCCTATAGCTTCCTTTTATATAGACCACCAAGTCACAGATGCTTGAGCCTTCAATACCTACTGTATCTCCAAATGGATAAATGCTGATCTTTATTTTATATATTTACACCATAGGTAGTACAGGTTTCATAGTGGACACGTGGTATGGTGGACATCTGTCAAGGTGGAAGTGAAGTTTTGTATCATGCTTTCTGCATTGAAGTGTTGGTAAGGCAGCTCACCAGGTGTAGTACCTCAAGTACCTTGATTTTTGGTATAGTCAACTCAGCCATTTTAGTATACATCATTAAGCACAACCATATAAATCCTGCTCTTTTATCAATAAAAATGAGCAGGGCTAAACATTTCAACTTACTACTAGCCATTGGCTAGTTAAAATGTATCCAATGACCACTCCTGTGAGTGTGCCATGGATCATCCAGGCTTTTAAGGATGAGTACATTTTAAGGCTTGGCTATTATCGTGTATAGCTTGAAATTTAAGTCCTGAAGTTAGACTGTGATTTGCCAAATGAATGGTTTGCTTTAACAATGTAAGTATCAACACAATTACCTCATTAAACTCTGGATTTAAGGTCTTCTTTTTCACAGCTGTCTTATGTTTTGATTTTTTGTCTTCATCTGGTTTTAAGTATCTAAAATAGACAACAAGAAATATAATATAGCACACAACATACTAAGATGCAAGATAATGCCTATCAAATTAAAACACAAATGGAGAAAATATACCAATCTTGTGTTTTATTTCTGCATTTGGTCATTTGAACACAGTTAAAGCAGTTGAAAAAATATATATATATTAATTTACGTTTGCTTCTGTAAATACATCTTACGAATAATATTTAGAGCCACAAAGCCCTTTACAGGATACAAGTACAGATCCCCACCCAGCCTACTCAAATCATTTTGTATATAGTAGTTGCGACAAACTCCCCTTTTTAATGGAGTTTGCCATGAGTTTTTGGAGGGAGCTGCTTGCCCGTCTCCTGTCCTGTGACTATGGCCCCTGAGGGGATTTCCGTTTAAAAACCCTATTTAGGCTTATGGGGCTTTAATACACTCTTTCTGCCCCTTTAAAATCCTGTGGGAAAGGATCTGCCCTTTTGAAATGGCACTTCGGATACAGCATAAGTAGTCGAAGTGGCCACCATTCGACATACGAACATTTTAATTCATTCAAACGTGTTCAGTGGTGTTTGGTGGTCGAGTTCATGGAACTCAAATCGGATACGTGACGGCACGAACACCACTGAACTTTGACTTCTCCAGACTTCCATACTTCAACGGAAAACTAAGTGAGTTTGAATATTCGAACGCAACGTTAACAGTGGATATCTGCATGAACGGCTCCCGTTCGTGCATTGGAACAGAACTTAGCATTTGAAACTATTGGAAATAGACCGGCCGCGCAGCCAAATTCTGTGGAACTATTTTGGGCATGAAAGCCATGCGTGCGGTCAAATGTGACTTCCATGGAACTTTTGAACCCCTGCTCTGATATAGGTGATTTTTTGGTATATAGGGATATAACATTTATGGGGATATGTTGTATTTTGGGGTACTTTAAAAAAAAAAAAATGTGAATTATTTATTTTTGTTGTGCTCATATTAACAGTTCAAGCTTGCCTTGCCACAATAGCATCAGCAGGCATAGGTGATGTGGCGAAAGTGACCTCGCCACTGGTTTTTGGAGGGGCCTGTTTGCCAGCCTCCTGCCCTGCGACTATGGCCCTGGGATGTATTGCCCTTTAAGGAACTGATTTGGGCATACTGTATTTTATTATGCTGCTGCTGGCCCTTTAAGAACCATCTGGGGACATACTGTGGAGTTACTGGGTGGCCACCATTTCATGTATCAGAGGCACATGGTGAGAACAATGGATGAAGCACATGGTGAGAACAATGGATGGCAGCCATTTTAACTCACAGACAATGTTTTGACATTTCTACATGGTGCCATCTCGCCGGTATTTGGTGCACAAAGACCTCGTTCAGTAGTTTTAAACTACAGAACAGGGGACACATTTAACAGTAATTATTTTTCATATAGCCTGTATATGTTCTGCGGAATCTGCATTAAACCGTATCTTCAAAACTACTGAACGGATCTGGGTGAATTTTTGATATGTGGTTCACCCAGATCCCCCGGTTCCGGTTTTTATGGGGTTATGGGAGGATTTCTGATGTAATGAATGGGAGTGTTAGCTGTGTTTTAATTTGTTGATTGGTTGTTCTTCAAAACCCTGTGTGCAGTACTATGTTTGTAGAATGTGAATAAAAGAGGCTGTATGTGCCAGTACAGTCAGTTCTTCTTTACCCTTCAAAACGTAGCCTCGTCTCATTATTGGAGGGAACTGCTATAATCACACTGGGGATTGCAATGCTCTGCATACTCCCTTGAGCTTTAATCACTTAGCTCTTTTAGGAGCTTGTTCCTGATACACTCTCCTGGAGGAGAGGTCTTCCCCACATGGTCCTGGAGGACAGAAGCCTATCCAGGGTAGACAGAAGACGGGGAGACTCGAGTTAAGCTACGGCGGTTGTGGAGTCTGCGGTGGTTGTGGTGTCCAGTGCGGTGCTTGTGGTCCTCGGCGCAGGCTACGAAGCGTCCATCAACGGAAGGTACTCATTCGGAGTACGAAGGTTCCGTTACAGGTGACAAATAATGACATAGATTGGTAACGATTAGTATGGCAATTCAGGTAACGGCACACATTTGTTGTTAAGAAACATGCAGAAACAGGTTGAGTAAAGCAAGAAAAATGTTGTCATGCATTGAGTATCTTATAGGTAAACATAACATGTCAGTGAGATTGGTTTGTACAGGTAGTGTTTTAGATGT